CCAGGAGCTTGGCCCACTGGTTAGTTGTGGATTTCTGCATCTGTTTCCATCTGTTTCTGGAAGAGGGTTCTAGCTTCTCTGGGGTTGTGGATTGTAGGCTGGGTATCTTTTGCTTTATGTCTGGTATCCACTTATGAGTGAGTACATAACTATATTTGTCTTTCTGGTTTTGGGTTACCTTACTCAGGATGGTTTTTTCTAGTTCTACCCATTTGCCTGCAAATTTTAGGATGTCATTGTTTCTTACTGTCGAGTAGTACTTCATTATGTAAGTATACCACATTTTCTTTATCCATTCTTCAGTTGAGGGGCATCTAGGTTGTTCCTAAGATCTGGCTATTACAAATAACCTTGCTATGAACATAGACAACACATATTTCTAAGCTTACTCAGTCTCCCTCTTCTTCAGTGTTATTTCCAAGCACAGAAAGAGGAACTGGGATGCCAGGATGGAGTCTGGTACTCAGGTGTCAAGAATTAGGAGGCACTCTGGCTCTGAGTACCTGAGCAAAGCTGTACACCTCTGCTTACATTTACTTGCTCTAGACAGAATGAATAAGGCCTGCTTAACAGGACTCTTTGGAGTTCCAAGAGGACACACTGCTCTCCATGCCACCTGCAATGTGACTATAATGAAGCCCCACTCAGGACACAGGTGACACTTAGTCCTTGCTGGGTCATAGCCTAGTTCTTTCCTCTAATATCCGAAGACTGATGGTGGGAGACTTGACCGTGTCTACCTCCCTGGAAGAAGGAGACTCAAATGGCCTCTGGGGCCTCTATTAGTGATGCATTCACAGCTTGTGTTTGGAAATATGCAGCCAAGCTCGGGCCCAGTCAATCATTGACACAGCATTCACACCTGAGTTGTCACTGTGTCCTCTGGCACAGAGTCAAGAGCCAGGGGAGGCACAATGCCTGGCAAGCAAGGGCAGTGCCCAAGCTGCAGACACTTGGGAATAAGATGTCAGTCAAGCTCAGAGCTACCTATGCTCCATAGGGTCCAGAGGGGCAATCAGAGGAAGTGTACCCCAGAAGAAGAGGCCTGAGAGCTACTTCTCTCAATCTGGCTTTCCTGATGGTCCACCCCATCAATTCCCTCATCATAAAGTGATTTCTTGAGCACCAAGTATGTATATGCCTGGCAGCTCACAATGAATAGATAAGTTTATTCCAAATCATGTAATAGCAGTTTCAGAAAGTGATAAACCTATGGAAGAAAACAGAAGTTATAATGACCAGGTAAGAGGATAGGTAGTAAGACAGGGGATGACTGGGGGTAGGCAGGAGACAGACAAGGAAAAGGCTGGCACAGGGGGAAATTGAGGCTGTAGCCATGGGTCTGACAACCTGAAGGTTTAAGCCCATTTGGATGGAGGCTTTCTTGATTATTTCTCTTTTTGTGCTTTCCTTGTTTGGGATGAGGTTACTGTGTAGTCCAGGCTGGCCTGGGACTCAGGCTCTTTCTGCTTCAGTCCCAAGAGTTAAGGATGTATGCATACAGCATCATCCCTTCTTCAATCATAATCCTATCTACCAAAGCTAGCATGACATCTTATGTGTCAAGAAATGCTGCTCATGGCCCATTGGACTGATGGAAGTCAGTTACTGTGCTCCAGGTAAACACACCCTAGAACTCCAGTTTAGGAAGTTAAGAACTTGTGGTCAACAGTGCATGCTGTTAGAAGTTAAGAACACTGTTACCCCTAGGTTAGGTATGGGAGGCTTCAGTGGAGCACTCGGCATTCACATTGATTTGTGTGATTCTGGCCAGGACCACACTCCATTTCATCACCTGGCTAGCAGTTTCATGCACATTTATTTTGTGAAAACTCATCAAATGCACATTATCATTTATATCTGCATGTTTCTACCCCACAGGTAGAATAGTGGTGGGGATAGTGGTCATCAAATGCACATTATCATTTATATCTGCATGTTTCTACCCCACAGGTCTAACGCACTTAGGATAGTGGTTCTCAACCTATGGGTCAAGACTTCTTTGGAGTTAAAAAACCCTTTTACAGGAGTTGCATAACAAATAGTCCACATATCGGATATTTACATTATGATTCATTAAATTAGCAAAATTGTAGTTATGAGGTAGCAACAAAAATAATTTTATGGTTGGGGGGTCACTGTAGAACTAAAGGGTCTGTGCATTAGGAAGGTTGAGAACCACTGCCTTAGGAGTTGTGATGGTTAATGATGTTGTCTGGACCAGTCTAGAATCACATGACAGAAAGCTCTCTGGGAGCATCTGTGGGGAATTATCTTCACTGGGTTCTTTGATGTGAGAAGTCCCATGTTAGCTACTGGCAGAATCCTTCCCTTGGCATGTTCTAGGGTGTAGGAAATGGAGAAAGCAGGCTGAACACTGGCATACACTGTTCTGTTTTTATTTTTGATGCCATGTGACTTGTCTCCGGCTCCTGCCTGCCTCCTTGACTTCCCTATGATAATGGACTGTGTTTTGAACTATGAGCCCAAATAAGCACTTTCCCTCCTACATTGCTTTTGCCAGGGTGTTTTCATCATAGCAGCAGAATGGTAACTAAGACAAATGTAAACAAAGATATTGAGTTTTTTTCAGTGGCCTGTGCAATTCTGGGTGGACTGGTGAGTTCCTACAAGGCAATCTGTCCCTCTCAGGGTCCTTTGCATAGGCTTTTAACTCTCTCCTTGCCGTCTCCCACTTCCCTCCTAGACATCTTTCGGGTTTCAGCTCCTACATCATTGTCCCTGGGAAGCCTTTCTTGACCTTGGCTTCTAGGTCAGATATTTTTGCTACAGGCTCTTATAACTTTGCTTCAAACACTTCCTTTGGGTGTGGTTATACACTTGTTTGTGCAATTAGTTGATTGTTGTCTTCCCCAACATACTAGGAGGCTTCAAAAGCAGAGGTAATGTTTGTTTTTCTTCTAACAATGAGAACCCCAAGACTAAGTATGACACCTTAATACTATGGGGGCAAGTCAATTTACATTTGTCCAGTAAATGAATAGTTAAGAAATTAGTGAGCCATAACTGAAGGTCTGGCTGCACTCCAAATCTATTTAAAATTGCTTTATTTAAAGAATTAGTTAAAAATTTCTCTCCCACCCTATACCAGACATTGACATAAACAAGAGCTTACCTCATTTTCTGTCTTGTGAAATTGATGCCCCTGGGAAAGACAAATCAATCTGTACGCAGCTCTGTGTCCATTCTGGTACACCAACATGTCTTTCCAGGTTGGGAATTCATGTCCTCATTTTAGAGGCTAGGATTTCTGCACTTGGCTACTCCCATGAAGTATCTGCATAATGGAAGCTGGGATTCTGGAACCTTAGGGGATATTTGGGTATCAGAATTAGCATAATAGATGCAGAAATGGGATATTCTCCAAAGGTACAGAAATATGTGATCTTTCTACTTATATTTTAAGAAAACCAATTCTTGACCCCTTTGCTCGTATATCACTCCTTACTCTTTTCATCAAGACCAGAATGGGAAACCCACAGAAACAGCTGACCCAAGGTAGGGGAGCCCACTGGCTCTGGATCAACAGCTGGGGAACCTACATAGGTCTGAGCTAGACCCCCTGAATGCTGGTGACAATGGGTGGCTTGAGCAGTTTGTGGGGCCACTGGCAGTGGGGCCAGAATCTACCTCTAGTGCATGAATTGGCTTTTTGGAACCCATTTCCTATGGAGAGATGCCTTGCTCAGCCTAGACACAGCAGGGAAGGCTTTGGTCCTGCCTCAATGTGGTGATGGGGCAGGCTACATTGACTCTCCATGGAAAGCCTTACCCCTAGTGAGGATCAAAAGGGAGGGTGGGTGCCTAGACACAGCAGGGAAGGCTTTGGTCCTGCCTCAATGTGGTGATGGGACAGGCTACATTGACTCTCCATGGAAAGCCTTACCCCTAGTGAGGATCGAAAGGGAGGGTGGGGTGGAGGTAGAATAGGGGGGAGAGGGGAACTGGTATTAGTATGTAAAAACAGGGGTGGGAGGGGAAGAAAGCCAATCTTTCCCTATCATCTTAGAGATATTTGGGAGTGCTTTCTCCCAGGCTAGATTCCCAGGTGGGTTGGTGAAACAGACATAGGCAAGCTGAACATCACTTTCCTCATCTGCAAAATAGGAAGTCTGAGAACATCTGTTCCTTAGAGTTGCTGTGAAGGTTTAATATAAGCACAATATTCAGTCCAAGGTCTTACCTATGGGAAAAGTTAATGATACTTAGCTGCTGTTAATACATTCATGTCTTGGAGTTTGGGAGTAAAAGAAAATGGAGGTACTGCCGTAGGCCTGCAAAGAGTGGAATTCAAGACAAGATACTTTTGTTCCATGGATTCAGAATAGTTCTGATGCGATTCCTTTAAATGTCTCTTCAGACGTGGTTGAATCTACGGCTTTAGTTGTTTGGTTGAGAAGACAAGTTCTCCACAAAGCACCTCTGTTCAACAACAGTGATGAAGTGGCAGATTTTGTGAAATACAAGCCCTTGGTCATCGTTGGCTTCTTCCAGGTACAGGGGTAAAGAGGTGGGAGGTGATTTTCATGTAGTGAGTACTGTGTGCGGAGGGTTTCTGACTTGTAAGAGGGTCCTTGCTCAATTTTCCTATCCACTGAGCTGCTGTCCTGGGGGAGTGCCTGGTTTCAAATGAAGAAAGCAAACATGGAAGTTGAAATGTTAGAGGTTAGTTAGAAAATGGAAAAAAATGAAGAGAACAAGAAATTGGCTGGCATCCATATTTTGTTGGTTTTAATGCTGTAACTGATCTTTGGAGGATCTATTTAGAACATCAGAGAATAAGAGGGTGTCTCTGTTTTCCAGTTCGAGAATTATTTAACTACGATTCTAACAGATGCTTGTTACTCTGCTTAGGCTAAGCCAGTTTCTATCCACAAACTCTTTGCAAGCCTTCATAAAAACTAAACCCTTAACACTATAGCAGGTACCCATTGGAAGGTCAATCAATCAATCCTCATCCAGATAAAGTACAGGGAGGTGCTTGGGATAGCTCATAAACAATTTAAATGTGATTATGAAATGTCTTATGATAGCTTTCTATTGATTTTATTCTTTATAGTAATAAATCTTACCAAGTATGTTTGCCTGTAGAAAATGAGTTTTCCATGTGTCTTAACTGATTTACTTTAGGTTGACAATGCTTCATCTCAATGGATGTCAGTCTTTGCTGTCATATTTACATGTGAGGAGAGTGCATAGCCCTTTCCTTCCTGGTTCCTCAAGAGAATTTTGGGCCCAAATATATTTTTCATGCTGAATATTGAATCCCAAAGGCCAACAGGGCAGCTACCTCACAACACCAGCTCATATTTGATGTTATGTGCAGCCAAATCAGTGGCTTCTTCTGAAAGAGACTCAGGAATTAATTTTAGGAATATTTTCAATTCCTGGGTTAGAGCAGCCTTTATTTTCATAATAGGAAAAAGTAAAAATACCTAGTTCTCTCCATTGATCTCTGTGGATTTGCCTGTGTGGGGTGCAGTCATAGCTAGAGGAACATTCTAGGTGGGAAATATCCATACAAGGGCACTTAGACCACCCAGCAAAAACCCAGAACTTAGAAAAACAAAGCCACTGTTCCCCTCCAGCCAGGCACTGTTACCCCCTTCAGAGAATTACAGAACATGCTTTCCCACACAGGATTTAGAGGAAGAGGTGGCAGAATTGTTTTATGACATGGTCAAGGACTTCCCAGAGCTAACATTTGGAATGATAGAAATAAAAAATGCCTTCGGGGGTTTCCATGTGATCCTTGACAGCGTCCTGGTGTTTAAAAAGGTATGTCTTCATCCTATATGGCCATGAGGGCCTTTCACTTCATACTAAGTGGCAGCATTTGGGGACAGGCTTTGGCTCTATTGGCTCCTGTGAACTGTCTGTGGACTAGCTGACTTGTAAGAAATCTGTTTCCTGGACCACCCCCACCTCTTTTCCTGCTTCTCTGCCTTTGCCAGTATCTGTTATTCATCAAGACTCAATCCCACAAACCTTGTTTTTCTGATTCATGTTTTCCCATCCATCTCTGTCAACAATTACCAAATATCCATTGCCTATAAATCTCTGTCTCTATCCAGACTTCACTTAACTCCAGATTTTGGTATGTAGAACCAGATAGTCCATCATGATTAATGTCAAAGTCATAATCTCCTCTCCAAGTTCTCTTAAGACTTGGAGAGTCACTGTGCATGGTGGCTCACGTGAGTTCCAGGCCAGCCTGGTTTATAGAGTGAGTACCAGGACAGCTAGTACTGTTACACAGAGAACCCTATCACAACAACAACAACAAAAGACTTGGAGAGTCATAGTGAAGAGTGCCACCATCCCTTCATTTAGTGGAGGAAGCCAGAAACCATTGGTTTCATCCTAATATCTCCCATTTCTCCACCCTTCCCTCATAGCCAATCCCCAGGATATGTCACTTCCCCAAATCTCTACTGTAACCATCCTAGATGAAGTGACCATCATCTCCAATAGCCTATTAGAACAGTTTTTAAACTGGTATGCTCTGGTCTGCAGAAAACCATTCTTTCCAAAATTGAAATCTGATGGCCATGGCCCCCGCCTCTCGGAGTGTCCTTTAATGCTTTGTGTAAGAGGGTGTGTGTGGTGTATGCATGTGTGTGAATGTTCATGTGTGCACATGTGGAAGCTAGAGCAGGATATTGAGTGTCTTCCTCTATTACATTGAACTGGAAGCACACTGAGCTTTTGTTAGGGTAAAGACTCAAATCCTTAATGAAGTCTACAAGGCCTTCCATAGCCTGAATTCATTTAGTGATCCAGCCCCCACCCAGGGATCTAGACCCGAGCTGATAGTTTTTTGTTTTTTCTTTCTTTGAGACAGGCTTTCTCTGTGGCTTTGGAGACTGTCCTGGAACTAGCTCTTGTAGACCAGGCTGGTCTCAAACTCACAGAGATCCACCTGCCTCTGCCTCCCGATTGCTGGGATTAAAGACATGAGCCACCACCGCCCAGCCGTAGTCTTTAACTATATAGATAATATGACTACTTAGATGGAAAGCAATTACATCAAAGTTTTAGTTTCTGTCTTAGTCCACAGAGATCCACCTGCCTCTGCCTCCCAATTGCTGGGATTAAAGACATGAGCCACCACCGCCCAGCCATAGTCTTTAACTATATAGATAATATGACTACTTAGAGGGAAAGCAATTACATCAAAGTTTTAGTTTCTGTCTTAGCTCTTTGTACCTAAAATGCCTGAGAAAAAGAACCCAGAGGGGAAAATTTTACACTCATAGTTTCAGTCCATCGTTAGTGGGGGAATGATGGAGCAGAGTGGCTCATGTCACAGCAGTGGGAGCAGAGAGGGATGTATGTGCTGTATGGCTTTTTTCTTCTTTTCCCTTTTGTTGTGTCTGGGTGCCTTGCCTGTGGAATGGTGTGGCCCACATTTGGTTAATCCTTAGTTAATCCTCTCTGGAAACACCATACAGACACACCCAGAAAGGCCTTACTCATCTTGTAATCAAACTGATACTAGATAGGTTGCCAGAGTTCCTCAGCCATACAAGGAACATCTCCAGTTTCCTGGAGCCACTTGGGGTTGGTTGACTGCTGTGTAGAACAGTATAGACACTAGAGTATTGTCTCCATTTCAGCTCATCCTGTGGGCCTTCCAGTCATGCCTTCCTGTCATGCCTTCCTGCTTCTCCCCACACAGTCAGATCTGTATCACAGCTGTTTTACTTACTGATTATGTTAGTCACTTACCTGAGGCCACACTTGATAAGTCATTGAAAAGCTTTTAAGATGAGAATAAAATAATCTGTCTTGTGAATGGGACAACATGGAGTCAGAAAGAGATCCAAATACATACAGAACTCCAATATATGACAAAGATAATTGAGACTAGAGGAGAAAATACTGTTATTAAATGCAGGATGTTTAGAATAACCAGGAAGCTGCATAGGGAAAATACTGAAGCTGTAGGCAGGCAGTATACCTTACATCAAATCAAATTCCATATGACCCTGATTCAAAACTGTAACTCAATGAACCATGTTCCCATATGACGATATAGGACACTTTGTTTCTTCTTTTGTTGTTGTTTTAATTTTATTTTATATAAATTAGTGTTTTGCATATGTGTATGTCTGAGCACTTCAGAGGCCAGAGGAGGGTGTTGTATCTCCTGGAACTGGAGTTACAGAAGGTTGTGAAGCACCATGTGTGCTGGGACTAGAACCCAGATCCTTTGGAAGAGCAGCCAGTGCTCATAACCACTGAAACATCTCTCCAGTCCTAAGTCTGTTTCCTATACATGGAATGGGGAGGCCCTTCACAAAGCATGGAGAAACACTTTTTAAACTTCTGTTAAATGTGTACTATCTACACATCTAACGTTCTGTAGAATAAACCAATCATAAAATCTACAGCCAAATAGCAATCATGGAAAATATTTTCCAGGTATTTTTATACTTACTGTGATAAATACATTAAGTAATTGCATTCTGTACTACACCTACATGCAGGGAGGTAAATTTTATTTACTAATTTTATTCTAATAGTTGTTATTTTTGAAATTACAATTATACAATTTACCCCTTTCCTTTCCTGCATCCAAACCCTCCCATGAACCCTTGTTCTCTCAAATTCATGGCCTCCTTTTACATAACTAAATACACAGATACAAGCTTCTGAGTCCATAAAGTGTTTTAGGAAGGTACATCTTAAACAGCTATGAATATGAACACTATGGTTAAACTTCCCATTCTTAAATCCTGGCTCTGGCATTGGGATATAATTGAAAGGTAGAGTGCATACTTAGTGCATTTGAAGCTCGAGGCTCAATCCTAGCAATAACTAGGGAACTAACTCCTGCTTCCATCTCTTACTTAGTAATCTTGGATAGGTCATTATACTTCTCTGAGTCATAGTTTACTCATGTGGGAAGTGGGCAAGATGTGAATACAACCAAGAAAGAAAGAAAATGAAGAAAGGGGAAAAGCAAGAGGGTAATATTAGTGCATGGTTTGGGAGACACTGTGACGCCTGAGTAAACTGATGTGTATCCTGAGTTTACAACTGTGGCTGGCACAGCACAGGCTCTCTAATTAGTATTATTAAATTGCTGATGTAACCAGTAAAGACATGGAACTTTGTATCCAGAGGATAACTTGGGCTATAACACATTGAAGCAAGAAAATGATGACAAGAATCAGATTTGTGTTCTAACAACATTAGGCTTGCTGCTGCTGCTGGTGATGGTGGTGGTGGTGGTGGTGGTATGTGTAGAAGTCAATGGAGAGAGTACTTCAAGAGTCTAGCTGAGAAGTTTGTACTAAGTTAGGACTGGTGGAGATGAAAAGACTATGGAATACTGAGACTGTAAACAACCATATCACCCCCATGTTTATACAGATATGCTACCTACTCATTAGGAAAACAATCACAGGGCTTGGGGACTTAGAGAGCCTTCAGACCACAGTGAAGGTGTGACCCTGTTGGAGTTAAGAAGGCTGATATATCACCTCTGATCAGAGGTACCTCTCAGGATCTCCCTGATCTGGGTTTGTCTTTGTATCCCTGATGCCTTTGGCCTTTGTTTAGTAGTGGTGTGGCATGACATTCAGCCTTAGTACACGTGTTTTGGTGGATTTCCAGAGAACAATGGCTGAGGTTGTCATCAATCAGATTGCTTTCCACACACCCACATTCAACAGGTAGACCGATTTGCTCAATGTTCTTATTTATTAAGTACTTGGATTATGTGCTATACCTGCCAACATCCTTAGTGTTTTTCCTTCATCCTGGGTGGGGGGTGTGCTTTTACATTTGTTAGGTGTATGTATTATGCAAGCAAGCTACTGTCCTCTAACATGAGTTTTCTTTGACTCAAGGGAAGAATTGTGAAACGTCAAGAGCTTATTAATGACAGTACCAACAAAGATTTTCTCAATCAAGTTGTGAAACAGCAGCTTACAGAATTTGTGATTGAATACAACCCTGAGGTCAGTGGGCAAGGGGATGCTGGGAGGACTTTGGGAACCCTTGTTTGTACTTTGAATGACATGTTTTCCTTGCAATTTCAGAGTAGGAATCTGATTTATGAACTGAGCATCTTGAATCACATGTTGCTCTTTATCTCCAAAAACTCAGAGCCATACAGCATCATAATCCGGCATTACAGAATGGTTTCAAAGGAATTCCAGAACAAGGTTTGTAGACCAACTCATTGTAGTTGGAGGTTCTTTGATGGGGACATCAGAATAGCCTTGCTATTTGAGTTTCATTAGCTCCTAGCTTCTCAGTGGTTCCTTTCCCTTGATGAGAGCTTTCCAGAGCTGCAAGACATTTTACTTGATTTGGCAGATTCTTTTCATCCTTGTGAATTCGGATGAACCAAAAAACAAACGCATCTTCGAGTACTTCCGGATCTCAACAGTCAATGTTCCATCTGTTCAAATCCTGAACTTGAGCTCTGATGCCAGGTACAAAATGCCCACAGATGACATAACCTTTGAAAACCTCAAGAAATTCTGCCAGAACTTCCTGAGCAAAACTGCCAAGGTAAGCTTCCTATTAGATAAGTTGTGTCAAGAACCTCAGAACCTTCTTATGATTTTTCTGGTTTCATTAATCTATAATAAGAGACAGAACAAAGGCCATCCCCAGGTTCAACATGGCAAGTCTCTCCATTTACTACCTTCATTCACTGAAGCACATAGTTTTTTCTGAGGTTGGAAACCTACTATTAGTTCTTTGGTCATAAAGAAAATTCCCAGTAGAAGTTCAGATGTTCTTGAAATCTGACTTGTCTTCTGTAGGAGGTTTTAATCCTTCCTACAGCCTCATCTTGGAAAATCCACTTGACCTAGGGTTAGAAGAGAAGGAGATGGAGAAAATAGCAGCCAAGATTTGACATCGGTTGTGTAGGGTGGAGAGACATCATCCATGCCACTGAAAGGGTGGGTGCAGGAAGTTAACTATGAGCACTCCTGCTGAGTAATAGTGTTTACTTTACAAACTGAAATATCTTTGAGAGTAAATGGAGAATCCTTCAAACATGTTTTGGATAATGACAGGAGTACATGGAGAGTCTTCGGGTAACTCCACATCTATGGAGAATTTACTGCTGGCTGCTTCCATTCCCTTCTATTTCCATAGGGACCTGCCTCCTCTATAGCCTTCTCAAGGGGAAGTGATTCTCAGACTCACATGATTGTGAGGTCAAATGGAAAAGCTGATGTCCTTCCTGGTCCTTTCAAAGCATTTCTCTTTCTAGCATCTAAAACCCAGCATTCTTTGCCTTTCATGCTTTTGGCGCCACACAACTTACTTCCATCCCTTGTTGCTATCCTCAGACCATCTCCTGTTCTCTCTGAGGATGAATGTTTCTCAGTGAAGACTACCTCCATGCTTCTTTGCCATCATTCCTAGGCATTAACATCCATCATGCTTATCTCTGTTCTCCACGAATTGGTATGCACACACTATCTCAGCCTCCTGATCATGTTCATCATCTAGATCTGGAGTTTCCTCCAAAAGTCTCATTTCAAGCTTCTCCTACTCACTTCTCCACTGACCACACTACTAAAGAGCCTCGCCTTTGCCATGAGCTTCCATCTTTGGATCCTGTTTCAGTCTCTTTTGTGCCTTCTCTATGAACTTGGATTCTATGGTTTGTCACTCTTGATAACTTCGTCTCCTCTCCATGTTCTTCTACTTCTATACCCTGAAGGTGTAGAAGGCAAATATCCAACTCCTGTTGAGCCCATTTAAGATATATACTACTTCTATAGTAATGTTGGAGAACAACAACTCCGCCATGAGACTGACTGACATTATGGACACACCAACCAAACTTCCCTCTACCAAGAAATGCTCCAGCATCTCTGTCTAAATCCCTCCAAGGTATTTATCTCTTTACCTTTAGGTCAATTTCTCTTCCTGTCCTGTTCCTACCTTCACATTCAGCTCAGCACTCTACCCATATATCACCTTCATGCTGGAGGCCTTCTCACTTTCCATTATCACATCCACAATGTGCCTGAGACTTTCCCTAGCCTCTTCTTCCCTCCAGTTAGATGTAAGGTGTTTTTCCACCCTTCAAAGGCCAACTCATTCTCTTGTGCTCCCAGAATACAGGTAAACATCTTCCACATGGCCAATGATCTTTGCCTGATCTGCCTGTTCCTAATTCTTCATTGTTTGCATCATTGCTCATCTGTGTCTGGTCTCCCCCCACCTTTATGCTTCCAGTGAAAGAGCCTTTAAGTCATTCCCAGAGTCTGTAAGGTGGAGAAAAGATAGTACCACTAAAGAAAAAGCAAAAGAGTTTGACAGAAGCCAGACAGCAAGGACTTTATAAGTGTATTAAAGATTTGGCATATGCAAGGGGAAACCAGATCTCTGTGATAAAAATAGAGCCCTAACTGCAGAAAATAAAGGCATGGAGAAGATTTGGAGGAGATTCAGGGGGAATCCATGTGAGAATCATGGACTAGGGTAGTCACAAGGAAAGTGGAAAAGAGGGTATAGACTCAAGAGATACCCAAGAGTCAGTGGTTGTATAGAAAAATATATTACAAGATTTCTGAAACTTTCTTTAAGCCAAAACAGCTGATGAATATATTCTTTCTGCCCTTCAATTCATATTCTTTACTGAGGTCTTTCTATGTGCAGACACTTGATAAGTAAAGAAAAGTCCTTTAAGGCACCATGTAGCATGGCAGAAAAATAGAAAAATAATCGATAATGTTCTGACAGTAACACAAAGGGGATATTTCAAAGAATTTATCATCTTGAAGAATAAGTTTGAGTTCACTGGATAGAGGAAGGAGAGGAAAATTTGGAGAAGGCCTTCCAGATTGTGGGAAGAACAAACCAACCTGAGGTGGATGACAGTTAGGTTTTGGGGGCCAACTGATCATCAGTACTGCTAAAGAAAGCTAAGGGGGGAAATGGCAATGAACTTGGGGGAAGCTGTGACAGAAATGCTTTGGCCTTGACTCTCATAGTTATTGAGGGCAACCATTGTTTTCAAGCAGTCTAGTTGAGATACTAATGACATGAGTTCCACTGTCATCTGAGAATCCTGAGAATCATAGATATGGATAAATTATAGTCCAGATCTCTGACCCCCCTCAGCACTCTGACTCCCCTTTAGGCTCTGACTTCCCTTCAGCCTCTGAGCCCCATCAGTGCTCTGACCCCCACACTCACCCCAGCACTCTGACCCCAGTCTGCTCTGGACAATGTGGAGCTGACACTGAGTTTGTGACTATCTCTGCATTTCAAACTTTTTCAGAGTTTGTCTTTCCAAGACAAAGCCTTTTGTTGTTTGTAATTGGGAGTGTGGGGACCCCAGTTACTTGTTCTTTGCTGGAGTGGAGAGTGTTAGACCTTTTAAATTTGCTTTCTAGAAACACAAATCCAGTGAAGAGATTCCAAAATATTGGGACCAAGGGCCAGTTAAGAAGCTTGTGGGGAAGAACTTCAATGTGGTTGTCTTTGATAAGGAGAAGGACGTGTTTGTGATGTTCTGTAAGTATCTTCATGGAGACAACAGGGGGTTAAAGGCCCCAATATTACTTTTCAAGTATTGCTTCTGAATTCTTGGGCAGTGCACTCTCCAAACTCATAAACTCTAAAACCGGGCTGAGGATTAATTGCCTCTCTCTCAAGAAAGATTCGATCAAGATGCCAGCAGCCACAGGCAACTCGGTGTCCCAAATTAATTCTTTTTTGTTGTTGTTGTTTTGTTTTGTTTTTCAAGACAGGGTTTCTCTGTGTAGCTTTGGAGCCTATCCTGGCACTCTCTCTGGAGACCAGGCTGGCCTCAAACTCACAGAGATCCACCTGCCTCTGCCTCCTGAGGGCTGGGATTAAAGGCGTGTGCCACCAACGCCTGGCCCAAATTAATTCTTAGTCCTCCTGAGTGCTGGGATTAAAGGCGTGTGCCACCAACGCCCGGCCCAAATTAATTCTTAGCATGCTGAATGCATTTGTAACAGTGGCACTTGTGTCTAACATGGTTTTGTTGGATGAAGAAGTATGCTAGGACTCGGGCGTTGAGTCATTGTATACCTAGGCCATGTAATTTCCCCCCACCATATCCTCTTGAAAGCAGCTACTATTATGCCTTCCATGTATGGATCACTCAACAGAATCTCAGAGAAGAAGCATTCCCAGTGTCACTGGAAATGGGATTTGAACATTTTCAGTCTGGCTCTAGCACCTGCTTTCATATTACCCAGAATTTCCCTGCTTTGGGCCTGTATGGTTCGTCCAATGGTCTCTGTGAGGTAGGGGCACAAATGTGTCATATCAAGGATTTTGTATAGTATATGACATGTTGCAAGCACTCCCCAAGTGATGATTGCTGTTACTTACATTATAATTATTCCCACTACTTGTCTAAGGACTATGGCCCTTTTCCTGTCATCTTTAGTTTATATGCCAGTACCCCAAGTTAGAGACTTCTCTCCATTAGACACTGCAGAAGGTGACTCCAAAGCTACTTCAGACAGGCAAAGGTACTATTTAGTAAGCTTGTACACTGAGCTAGGTTTAAGTGTATCATATGGTATGTTACAAAAGGCTGTGAGGAAGGCACAGTGGCTTTCCCCATGACACAGGTCAAGGTCACACGGTAAGTACTAAGACCCAAAGTGAAGCCATCCCTGTGCTGATTTCATTGTACATCCTTTCACAACCTCTGTGAAGCAGATACTTGTCCAGTGACAGTGCTTCTGAGAGCTGTACAGCTGAGTCATAGTAATCTGCTCCCTTTCATCCCGGAGCTGGGGCAGCCTTTCTGTACCTACCCGACACACAGAGTTCTGAGAACACTCATTTACTTCTGATAAAAGGCAAGACCAACCTCATTTTCTTGGAAGTAGGGCTGTTGGAGTGCACCCTAGGGCTTCAGCCATTATCCCCTGTGTTCCTACCCAGGGCCCCTTCAAGCTCCAGGGGTCTCTGGGTGCTGCAGGTAGGAGGTTTGGTCACAGGGGGCATTTGGCTGGTAAATGAATAGATGGGCTTGTAAAAGTGTAATGTCAGGGCCTCTGAGGCCATTCCTCCCACAGAGCAAAACTCTTGAGTTCCGAGCTTCCAATAAGGGCAAACAAGGGAGGCTGGCTTTCTCTGTTTTGGATCTGTGCTCTGATCTCTTTCCAAAGGGCCAGCTGTCTGGCCACTCAAAGCTCAAGGAACTTTGCACAAGAAAGGCCAGTGTCCCCTGCCAAGGTTAGTTGTCCCAATTTTAGCACATACCTGTTCAGTTTTTTGGTTATGTTCTCTTCCAAGGGGCTGAAAGGCATGTTATATTGTTATACATTAATATATATTAGATAATATTATTCTATGCCATATTTGTAGAGTAATCAAGCTCATGTGACCAGTCTTCAAGTCTTATTCCCTTTGCTTAATTTCCTGGATGACCTTGGTCAAGTAGCTTAACTTCTGTGCTGTAAATACACACATTCTCTTGCAGACATAACAGCAGCATAAATATTTTCCCTGGTTTTCTCTTCAACTGGAGTGGAACACTATGTCAAAAGGAAGGTTTTTTTGTTTTGTTTTTTGTTTTTTAAAGAACATACTAACACATGGAAAATGTTAATGTCCAGGAGGAACAGGACTATGTTAATTTTTATTTTGGTTTAATTAATAGTGATCATTTATCAAGATACATGAATAACCTATGGTGTGAATGAAAGAGTATGTGGCTCACTGAATAGATGCATAGTAAGAAGAACACATGGTGCTACATGGCATTAGCTTTCAGAGTCCTGCACAGTGAGAGCTGAGCAAGACCCTTCTTTTCCAGATGCACCTTGGTCTGAGAAGTGCAAGGCACTGTTCCCACTGCTGGAAGAGTTGGGCATGAAATACCAAAACCACTCAACAGTCCTCATCGCCAAGATTGACATAACAGCAAATGACATTCAGCTGGCGAACCCAGATCAGTACCCGTTCTTCAGGCTTTTCCCTACTGACTCACAAGAGGTGAGGGGCTCTTGGGACCACACAATTGAAAATGTTATAAATTACCAGGAACTCAACTTCTCTCCAGCTCAGCCCTCTACTGAACATTCTCAGCTCCAGTCCCCAATATGCTCTCATATTCAAGTTTAGAGTATTTTCCAGCATATTCCATTCAAGTTCTAAGACTTGTTATGGTTTCATACAACTTGAGTACATTGCTTATTGTGTCAAATGGAAGTGGATGTTTTGATTGGGCAGTGATAAGTTTCCTCTAGTATGAAGCTGGGCTATCACAAGCTACAGAGAATAAAGTAAGGACCTCTCTATAGGGATATTGGGGTGGAATGCTACCAAATTAAAGAACATGTGCCAGACATCAACAATCTACCCCGGGGAATTCTGTTCCTTGTGCAGCCATCACCAGGGCTGGTGGAACATAGTCTCTATTGATGGGGAAGGGTATCAATCAAAGGGGCCTGAGCCAAGGTCCTCCCTCCAGACAAGAGTGGATGAGTGGGAGGTAAAGTCATAATGACACGGATCACCTATGTATGCAAAGGGAGAGCAGAATCTGGAGAAGAGATATGGCTAAAGTCTTCATGCAGACCTGGGACTCTGAAGAATGGTGGAGATTTAAATTAAAGGAGGGATCATGTACTCTATAAGTAGGATGTGTAACATGAGTGGTGAGGTGGGCAGGATGACCAGAACTTGGGAGATGTCATCCCAGTACAGAAGGTACATTAGAGAAGCTGTAGGAAATGAGGTTAGATTGACAGGATGAAGCTATCATCAATCTTAAGTTAATGCAGTAAAAAGCTTAACCAACCAGTGGGTGGTAAGTAGCCTTCTAATCCGCTTAAAGATCCACAAAACAAAGGAAACTATTATGAATAAATGCTGACCATGCAGTAGGCATTTTATAAATAACAGTTATTTTTCTTATCATTGTTAAAATATTACTAATACCAGCCATTCATATGAGCAAACACTTGTGGTACCTACTATAAGCCAAACACTGCTTTAAGCACATTTCCTATATTAGCTCATTTAATCCAACAAAGCTGTGGGGAAGCTCCTGAAATTAATGCCATATGGGGAAACTGAGTCACAAGTTCAGTAAACAGACCACACTGGTAAGTATTGCAGCCAAGGGTTAGACCTATAAAGTGTGGCTTTATAATTCATGTATGATCCATGCCTCATATCCTCTGATGCGTTTTTATCAAAGCCATGGTAAAGGAGGCTCACAGAGGTTAAGGCACTTTTTTTGGTAGGTTCACATTGTTAGGAATTTGATCCTGAGTTTCTTTTTGTAACACTATATGAGCAACTTATAAGAAGAGATTCCCATCTTAATCTTGCTTTGTTGTCTTCCTAGGCTGTCCTGTATAAAGGAGAACACACCATGAAGGACTTTTGTGACTTCCTGGAAATCAATGTTAAGATTAGGATTGAGGAAGAGGATGAGGTAAGGGGCAGAGCTACAGGCTGGGTCTTCTCTCATGCACATGATTACCAGGAAGCCAATGGCCCATATGAAAATTATGCCTTGGGTCCTATCAATTATTTCATTCTCCCTGGAGATGGTTTTGAGGCTGCATGGACAACTATTCACTTTGAGTGAGCTCACTGGTTATTTGAAGGGAACTTGTGACAAGGAAGTAGAAATGGCAGCCATTAGAAAACAGACTGAAGTAACATACAGCCTTCAAAACATCCTTCTTGTCACTTTCCTGAGATGGTAATCAAATGTGTCAATGAAAGTCTGCCCTCTGGCATTGCTGTCCTGATAGATATGACCAGTCTCCTCTTTCTCCTAACCATGCCACAGTGGGCTAGAAGGTGCCATCAGAATCAGTTAGGATACTTTTTGTTGCTAATATCAATGATACTCCTTGCCTGCTTTAGCAACAATAGGCGTTTATTTACCTAGTGGGACATTTTGCACAGATGGATCAAGAAGCTCGTATCTGCCTTCTGTCTTCCCATATGTTTTCTTCTGTCTTGGCAGTTTTCTCAAGCAGTCACTTCCCCACAGATGGTAAATATTTCCCCAGGGCTCTAGACTTACCTCCTCCCAGTTTAGAAAGATAAAAATCCACTTTTCAGTAGTTGCAACATGTATGCTAGAGAAGGATCTCATTAACTAGACCAAAGTCACCTGCTTTGTCCTGGAGTTAGGGACTTGGTAGTCACACCTGTCATAGAAGAAGTGTGCCCTCTGACAAAGGGGTCAAAACCATAGTTGGGCACTTTGTCATGCCACTGTCTCTATGGGGATACTTAAGCCAAATATGATTCTTTCTAGGCTCACGCAGAACAGTCTTACCCATGATCACACATGTTTCTTTATTCTCCGTCCTCTTCTTTCTCTTGCTCCCACATTTTCTTTAACAGCTGTTGTCCATTGAGCAAAATGAAGTGATAGAGGAGGAAGTGATAGCTGAGCCAGAGACCCAGCTCATAGAGAAGTTGCCTGAGCAGCAGTTGCTCAAGCTGGAGGATGCAACCTTAGAAGACAGACAAATGAAAGAGTCACCTGTGCTGGAGAGCATAAGCAAGCCGGCAGAGCCAGTGAGGACGGAAACAGCTGACGAAGAGGAGGAGGTGGCTCAGCGGAAGCAACCACCTCAACCAGGGAGGAAACCGGAAGTCAAAGAAGAACTTTAGCTTCTCAGAAGCCAACAAGCCCATGAGTGTCTTTGATCTTCTTTGCTCATCTCCTTTTTTGTGATTGGTGCTAACTGCAAGAGCCACTTGGCCTGGAATTCAGCCAGGGCTGCAAGAGGAGCCATGATGCCAATACTGGCTAAGTATTCACAACTCCCCACCCTTCACCTCCATCAATAGGGGCCAGCTTCACTGTCCCCATTTACAGATGAGGAACTAGAGGCACAAGGAGATGAGAAATCAGTCAGAACCACACAGTTTGAGGGCTTTTGAGAGTATTGTATCTCTTACATCACTCTAGAGCTCATCTGCTTGTCACTATGCATGACACCTTGGGCTAGTTGGGCCGCCTCAGGAGTTTGGCTAAGTCATGCAAATGAAGTGCATTGACAGGCTTATGGTACAATTTGACACCATAAGAGCTCCAACACTAAGCTTGTCTCTAGATGTCTCCATGCCAGTAAGTGACCCACCAAGTCCTCATGCCAGAATCATCCTGTGGTCTCTTCTCTTACAACTATAAATTCGACATCCACATGATTTTATCTAGTTCCCCTCCACGTGACTCCACTCTTCTCTTTCCATGTGACCCCACATACTTCCTATGTGACTCCAGCGGCTTCCTTTCATGTGACCTATCCTGTTCTTTCTATGTGATTCTGCCCGTCCAAGTGACTCCACCTACTTTTCTGCATTGCTGAGAGTAGCCCACTATTTCCTGGGAGCAGAAGACTCAAAATTGATATTTCTCCTGATATTCTCTATGACTCTCTCCACCTCCCCCTCACACCTCATATTCCTACAACTGTGGAGATACCTTCAAATACCAGAGCTCTGGGTGCTTACTGTATCTGCCCCATCTCCATCCTTAACTGGCATCTTCATGGCATTTAGACTTGTTTCCAATCTTCTTTGTATTCCTGCAGAGTCTTGAGAGGTCTAGGCCTGCAGATCTCTATTACTCCTCAGTTCTCCCAGTTTCTATGCATCATCCACATATCTTGTGTATTCTTTGAACACAACAGATTCTCTCCATGGGGTTGTTCCCTCTATCTTAGTGCGTGTCCTCACAATACTTAGCATCCATCTCCATCTTCACACAGCTGTGGTTTTAATCATTCAAATCTTTTTTTTTTTTTGGTTTTTCAAGACAGGGTTTCTCTGTGGCTTTGGAGGCCGTCCTGGAACTAGCTCTTGTAGACCAGGCTGGTCTCGAACTCACAGAGATCCACCTTCCTCTGCCTCCTGTGCTGGGATTAAAGGCGTGCGCCACCAACGTCCGGATAATCAGTCAAATCTTAACTCAAATGTTGCCATGTCTAGGAGGTCCTCCAGGACACTAATATTTGAAAGCACTTCATTAATTCATCAAGTAATTGCACAATGCCTGCTCCCATCCCCACCATGGCTAGTCCCATGAATACAGAGATACTGCTTTCTTAGTTCCAGCTGTGTGTTCTGCATGGTACATAGTAGGTGCTCAATAAATGTTCTTAGAGAAAATGCAGTCATCAGGTAACATCTTCTCTCTGAGGGATACATGATTTCATAGTTCTCCCCAAGGGAAGAGGTCAGAACATTGTCCCCAGGCCCAGGCTGGTCTGCATTAACTGTTTCTAACACAGTCTTAATGAGTTAAAAACAGCCTGGACTAATTCTCAAATGGCCAGATATCAGACATCAATTTCATGGGTTAGGCTTGGTGCACACCTGTAATTCCAGTGCTCAAGAGGCAGATGCAGGGGGGGGTTATGATTTATGATTCTGAGTTGACTGTTAAGATCCTGTCTCATTTTTTCACACTGGGTTAAATGTCAAGGTTCATCAGGATTGGGGCCTTTTGGAAGAAACCTTTGCCTTGCAGCCTCCTGGGGGCTGCCTATTTGCCATGTCTTATGCTTTATTCTGGAATCCCTCTGACCTTACTCTTCACCCTCACATCTCATTTCCTCTGCATCTATCTTCTGTTTAGAAAATCTGTTGTGATCACATCCATCCTTTGGGATTCCCCCTCCATCTCCCTCTATTTAGCTTAACCATACCCACACAATACTTTTCATTCTGCAAAGCAATATTCATGGGCCCCAGGGATTAGGATGTCAGTATATTTGTGGGTCATTATTTAGTTCTTCATATTCATTCTGTTTATATGATTTCATTGGGGGCTAATGGGACTTCTGAGAATTGAGGGGTGTTATTGTAGGGACTGTGACAAGAATGGAGATACCATAATAGAGGGAGACATTTTTGGTTTACAGAGAAATCAGGCACTAGGGAAATGTCTGGAGATCTACAAAGATGACACCAGCTAACTATCTCAGCAACAGAGGAGAGGCTACCTTAAATGCCCTCCCCTGATTATTTGATTGATGATTGACTTATATGTCATCCTATAGCCTTCATCCAGCAGCTGGTGGAAGTAGAAGCAGACACCAATAACTAATCACCAATGTGAACTGGAAGCCAGATGCAGAGAAGGAACAGTGAAGAGCACAGAGGTCCAGACCAGGCTGGTGAAACCCACAGAAACAGCTGACCTGAACATCTGGGAACTCTTGCTCCCCAGTCTGATAGCTGGAATACCAGCATGGGACTGATCCAGACCCCAGGAACATGGGTTTCTGTGAGGAAACCTCAGAAATCTATGGGACCTCCTATAGAAGCCCAGGACTTATCCCTAGCAAAGGTTTGGACTTTGGGAGCCCATTCCATATAGAGGAATACTCCCTGAGCCAAGACACACAGGGGTGGGCATAGGCCCTATCCCAAAGGATAAGAAAGACTCTGATGACACTCTATGGAAAGCCTCACCATCCGGGGGAGCAGAAAGGATATGTGACAGATAAGGTTTTAGTTGGGGGAGGGTAGGGGAGGACCGGTGGGAGAAGGGAACTGGCATTGTCATGTAAAAAAAATTCATTAGTGAGATTTGGGTGAAAAAAAAACTCCCTGGGCTTCTGCTTTCCACTCATCACACAAGGCAAAGTCTGTTGGTATTTTTAGATCCCTAGAAGCAGTTCTCCCCAACCCATACCTGATTTACAGACATCAAGGTGAAGCAGGGAACAGCCTGGGGCCTTGGAACTCAGTAAAGCCATATGCCTCTATGGGGATAGGTTTTAGTATTCTAGGCACGATGCAAGACTCAACTGCCTTGACCTCACAACCATGTGGTGACCTGTCAAAGGAGGGGACCATGGGGACTGCTGAGACTAAATCACAGGGATCAGAGCCCAAGACAAACAGTGAGATGGAGAACAAGGCTGCCACATGCACGTTCCACAGGTGTACACAGGTGTACCTGAAGCCTCAGAGGTGCAGTGAGAAGAAACAGCAGAGAGATGGGGCACAGATACCCCTCTGTTGGGAAAGGCTTCTCGGTTCACTTTCTATTCCTTCCCAATGTATCTACCTGTCACTTGAACTAATACCCCTCTGTTGGGAAAGGCTTCTCGGTTCACTTTCTATTCCTTCCCAGTGTATCTACCTGTCACTTGAACTGCTTGCTCAGTTTCTCAAAACCAACCATCCTTTCAACTCCAGCCTACCAAAAAAGATGGAACCACTTGTTACTCGGAAACCCTTCTATGGCTAAGCATGGAATACTCTTTACCCCTCAGGAAATAAGGCTGACTGAAGTGGCAAATCTCAATGTAATTTGGACTTCAGTTTGCAGTTAGCATTATTTAGCTCTATAACTTCGGGATGTTACTCAGTTTCTCTGAACTTCAGGCTTCTCTCTTATTTCACTGAGACAACATAAAAGCAGAGTCCAGACATCTTTAGTCACCAAATAAAGTTTCCAATACCAGGAATGAGTTACATTTAATCCAGTTGTTGGCCGAAAGGGTCCCATGGGTATCTCTGAATTCAGGCTATTGCCAAGTCTTTTGATGGCTCTCTACAAGCTGACAATAAGGTTCTGATGATGAAGACAACATCTACACAACTCATTGAACATGGAGAAATTGAGCTGGTGCCTACAAAGAGTCTTCACCTCCATAGATTATTATTCGTGGTCCTAGAAGGTACTCTGGATTCCACCAAAGGAGAAAGGTAAACACCAGGGCAGCCACAAATCCTTCAACATACGAGAGTAACCTGCCTGCAAAATAAGCTGGTGTAATAGTGGCACAGAGCTTGTGGAAGTAACCAAGCAATATCTAATTTGAGTTAAGGCCCACTGCATGAGATGGAACCCATACCCAAGGGTACTTATACTGGCAAGAACCCAAGACCAGATAGGCTAGGGACCTAGGGGAAAACCTAATACTATTGTTCTACTAAAAAGACTTAATAAAATGACTCCCAATGACATCCTGCCATATCTAAATCAGTGCCTGGCTCAGCCATAATCAGAGATGGGATTCTGCAGCAGATGGGAACAAATAGACCCATAGCCATACAACATGCAGAATGAGATACATTGGAACACTCAACCCGAAAGCGGGTGTCTCCAACAAGTCCCTACCCTTAACGGCCCAGGGTACCCTGCAGAAGAGGAGGCAGAAAGAGTGTAAGAACCAGAAAGGATGGAGGACACCCAAGAATCAAGGTCTTGTAGACACAACAGGGAGGAAGAACATATGAACTCACAGAAACTGCGGCAGCATGCACAGGGCCTGCACAGGTCTGCACCAGATGGGGTTCTAGAGTTTAAAGGAGAAGTGGACACATTTCTCCATCCCTCCCCAGAAGCAGTCTCCAATTGATAAGCACTTGCAAATGAAAATTAGTTTCCTCCAAGGAGTCTCACTGAGGAAACCAACCACTCAAGTGTAGACCCATGCCCAACACTAGATGGACAACACGAAATGAACTCGGTGTCATCTTTGGAGGTTCTTTGTCTCATAATATTAAGTCAGGGAGCTTTCTTGTTTCTTCCTACCTTACAGGTCCTTTGCATATTTATTATGGTTTCAAGTTTGGGATTTTCATGGAATTTCTGAATGTGTGTGTGTATGCACCTATGTGCGTTTCTTGTGTTCTTTCTTTGGTTC